TTTATTCATTAATCTCACAAAAACAGCTGGTGCATTGCATAATCCAAAAGGAACTCTGTTAAATTCATATTGACCTTCTAGCGTCACAAAAGATGTTAGGTATTTCGACTTTTCGATTATGGGAATTTGATGATAACCTGAAGTTAAATCCAAACTTAAAAAAAAACAAAAATTTACATCCAATTAATTTGTCAATTTGATCATCAATTCTCAGTAACGGATATCTATCTTTGACGGTTAAGCGATTTAGTTGATTTAGTAAGGAGTGAATGTTTTCGGTGCGTGATCTGGTTCCCAATTTTTGCAATTTATCTGATAATTTTCCAAAAGTTGCTGTTCCTTGTTTTCCGCATTTTCACACATCCTACCGTCTGCATCAGAATCAAATTCAAAATTAACCTTATTGGCCTAATCTCCTCCCCAGGATTTAAAATAAGATAATTTAACAGAAAATTAAAAAACCTTACCAGTAAAAGGCTCAATCACTGTTTTTCAGCAAAGAATGTTAATTTTGGAATTTTTGCTAATATGGGTGTGCAGAGTGGCAATTTTTGGCGGCATTTTGATTCTACTTAACGTTTATTCGAAGAAATGTGAATCATAAAATGTGAAACAGGAAACGTGAAATATGTTTTACAAAATAACAACCGAAACAAAGTCTTTGTCAGGAATTTCATTTCATTTAATGTAAAATGGAAAAGCTGACGGAAACATGATGTTTAGATACTGAGAAATGTGTACCATAGCAAAACATTAATAGTTAGGCATAAAGTTTTTATAGTGTACGACGTCGATCTTAACATAATTTAAAAGATGGATCCTTACATAATGTACAGGATGGATCCTAACAAACTGTCCACTTAAGGGTTTGGATTGAACAATTGAAATTAATCTAAACGAAAGCATAACATAAACTTATAACATGTCTTTGTTTAATTTTCGTGATAGTGTAACTAGTCGAGAATATGAAGACAATACTTTGTTAATGTCGTCTTATATAGGGTGTCCCAGTTATAATAATTAATATTTATACCACAGATTCCTACGGACATTTGGAACATAAAATGTTATAACACTTTTGACTTTTGAAACAAAATAAAAAATTATAAAATTATAACAGTTTTGATGCCGGCCCTGCACAATCGCAAATTAATTACGATTGCCAGCTGATCGTAGAAAAATTCACCTTCAGTAGGT